AGGCGCCTAGTCATTTACCGTACATTTATATGAGTGTGTGTGTGTGTGTGTGTTTGTGTGTGCAATCAGTTACAGGCAGCAAGATGTGCAATGTGCGATTTGCGACTGCATTGTGACGCGTTCACGAGACGCATTCCCATCATATTTATGGCTATTTTAGTCATTAAATTGAAAACACTTTGTTTGGGAATTGAGCCGAAGCTGTGTGCGCACACATGCACATTCCACTTATGCACACACGGATATACATACATATATATGTACATGCATATTTCCAGTGGCAGTTAGTTAGTGCTGCTGATCTTGGCCTTTACTCCGCAGTCGATTGGCCAGAATTAAGGTGAGCAGCCTTTGCATGAAGTGTGGCTCGTAAGATGCCGCAAGTCCTTCAAATACATGCATATAAGATGGCGTGGAATTTCTGAAATTTTTTCTAGTAAAGCGTTTAGATTACCATATGCGGTCGTTCCACTACCAAACGCGTGGCAATTCATAATTGGCTTTCTGTGCAAGTTTATTACATTAAAAGCTACATTTTATACCCCTCGGTAATCAGTCTTTCTTTGCCCACTCAAGCGGTGGGGAGGGGTTTATCCAAGCCTCTCAAGCATCAGAAGTGACCAGTCTGACGTATCGGTGGTGGGTATATTTAGCAATGTTTTCATCCACTATACCGATGTTATTGATAACAACGATCTCAACAACCGCACCTACGTGCGTACAACCTGAACAGTGGAGCTTGAAATGATCCCTAGGCACACATCAACATCAATGGAAATGCACTCTTGCAATAGACGGCTTAAGCAATCGCAGAGTAAAATTCTCTCTACACGAAAAGAGACTAAATTCAAAAAGTCGCTCTTCATTCCTCTTCTACCTTATAGCTTATGATATCTGACGGGTCGGTACTAGGAGTTTTTGTTAGAAAGATTTTGTGCAAGATTTATGATCCTTTGCGTATGGGCAACAGCGAATACCACAAACATCGACATACGTGAAGTTCTGCGAATTAAGACAGAGCGGTGGTGTTTTTCTTGTATTGACGGCTCATCTAACTGGAGGAGCGTGTTTGTACCGAAGCGCAGGTTTAAATGCGTTGATTCTTGGGCAAGTCTAACCCTACCAAGGAGCAAGCAAGATCAGTCTAAATCATCTTAGTCATCTAGTGGGAGGTCCAGGAAACGAGCTGTTCCGACGGGTTCGGACTAGATGGAGAGAGGGAGTAGATAAGTTGGTTTGAAGGCATAAAAAGAAGTGGTTGAGAAGTGGTTATGTCGGGTTCAAGTCCGGATAGGTAGGAATTTAGTAATCTACAGCATCCAGATCTTAATGACGGCAGTATTACTTGGGACTCTCGAGATTTTCGTCTGCAATGTGTGGTGGTTTAACAACGAGAAAGCCACTCGGTGAATGGCATTTCAATCCTGTCGGGAAGCCGTCCTGTCCAGTACGTGGTGCTGAATTCAGTCCTTAAACTCCCTTCCTGCCTAAGTTGCGGTTCGGCTTCTTGTAAGTTCCCTTCAGCTGCATCTTAGCAGGTATTGCTGGCACAACAAAACACTACGTCTTTTTAACTTGTATATGTTTCACTGTCCATGTGATGATCTCACCACATCAGGTATTTTGGCAGGCACGATCCTGAGCGTGGTATTTTGGCAGGCTTGTAGCTTCTTCATCTGCGTCTCACTATTCCCCGGCGACCAATTGTCATTTCCTATATGCTAACGCTGTGAGGATTTTGTTGCGGACTTGTACTTTTGTGGCAATTGCAGCCGTATTGCAAGACAGAATTTTTACCCCATCGATTTTCACTTCTTGGTGCAGCGTTACGCGAGAAATTGTGGAAGTTGTTGACCGACTCTCTGTGAAGGGCATTCTCAAGGACTTTCTTTACAGGGTTGTAACCTTTATCATCTTGTTGTCGTAGTCTCCGGCGGTCAAAATTTTTGTTTAAATTCTTTAATCATGGTCGTCCTACTCGATGCTAACGTGGCCTTAGGAAATGAGCCGTAGAGTTCCTGAGTCAACGCATAACGTGATGGCCAAGTCGAAGCGAAAAACTAAGATTTCATAGTTTAAGCATGAAGAACACTTCGTTCTCTACGTGCAATTCTAAGTACGGACCTCATTTTTACCAAAAAAACACTTATTATAAGGTTTATAATGAATTAAATAATGTAATTATGTATGTATGTATGCCCATAGTTTATGTTAAACGCCTCAAACCAAATCGGTAAACTGGCCAACGCTTGGCGTAGGATGTGGATAAGTTTGTTTTGAAAAAGTCGCTACAGATGTCTGCAGCTATGAACGCGCTTATGTATGTGTCTATACTAACTGCGTATCTATCTGTATCGAATTTCAAGCAAATACAACATAAAATGGTGCTCACGTCTTTACTATCTCGAAGCTGTATCCATCGCACGGCTGTTCGTATGCAAATTTTAATAATAGCTCCAGCAAAGGTCAACTTGCAGTTGTCAGAAATTAAATGGTGTGTAAAGTGCTGGGAGCTGGAGCGAGCACACAGATTCTAGCTTCAAGATAAAATTTAACTAGGTCATGCTTACATACAAACATACTTTAACAGAAAATCATAGTCCTTATATGTATGTATGTTCTTACATATGTATATGGTATATTATAAATATATAAGTATGTATATATGTATATACGTACATTTGGCAATACAAGTTACTCAAGAGGCTGTTCAAATGCTCTTTTAATGCAGCTAAATTAGGGGTTGCTGTCGCTGTCAAGTAACTTTAAATAAAACTTATTCGATGGCGCTTTACATCAGTGAACTTATGGAGGTAAGAATTGGTTGTTTTAGAGACCCCCCTGCAAGAGCTGATTTTTACGTTCCTCTCCTAAATGGTTTCCCATATTTCAATACATGACTGCAGTCGAGATTTCTATAGAATTTCTTACGGTTTTCTAATTACATACATAGAAGCGAAGAACATACTTCTACCATATGGAGCATTCCGCCATATGTCATATGCTCACAACACTGTCGGAAATGGCCGAAACCAAAGTAGGTCACCTTCTGACACATGGAACAGATAGCGCGAAGTACTGTGGGCTGTTGAATAGCTCTGGAGTTAGACACTTCTGCATTAACTGACGTGGACTAGTCAGGGACTGACGTTGGAAAACGCACTCAGAGGTGATCAATTCTGCAAGTCACTGTACAGCTCTTATCAGCAATACGTGTATGTATATATACATATGTATACATCAAACATTAGTGTGATATGTTGTATATATGTACATATGTATGCGAAATCATAATATGAATTTTTAAATGTTTTCTCTCTGACGAAATTGATAAAAATGTGCAATACTAATGCCAAGAGGTATTAATAATGTCAATAGTCTCGTGGCCCCAAGAAGAGTATCTAATTGTATTTTCGTATTTGTATACAGCGGTGTCTACATACGTACATATGACATATGTATGTACAATGCATATCCACGTAGGGAGCAGTGATTACATGACTCACTCACCCATTGAAATTAATAGGTGTGTATGAGAGTCCCGATTTCTGAGAATTTCAACTGAATTTAGAATTATTCATTCACAAACAATGAATTTATCTGATATAAACATTTGAATGCAGATTTTCAGAGGGCTATAAATAGGTACCCAGTGTTAGCGCCACAATTTCAAGTGGTTTTAACTTATGACGTCAAAGAATATCTAAACATTCCGATTTTAATTAAAGTTACATATGTATGTAGATAGGTAATTAAATAAATTTGTATCTTTATGAATTTGGCAGAATTCTTGTAAGCATTTATATAAACTATGGAGCATACAAAAATTATAAAGTCTTTTGATTGTAAAATGAAGCGGTTTGTAAATAAACAAATCCACATCTTATATGCTTACATATGTATGTATGAATATGGGTACATGCATTAGTATGTATGTATGTGTGGACCTTAAACTCAAAACAATTATATTTCTTTTTACCGAATACTTCTTACCCACAACAGTGATCAACTACAAATATCTATATGTGTTTTGTTTGTATGTTTCAGGCAACAACTAAATCTTGTATACACAACTAAGCACACACACGTGTCCATTTTGTATGTACAACTGCATATGTATTTGGATTCTGTTCAGACTTGTATGGGGTAATTATCTTGGCAGATTTCTAGCCCATAGAAAATGCAATATTTTGAACAATTTTACGATAATTCCCGATAAATGCGATAATTGTTCTAAATTTTTTTACACTTGTTACGGTTCTTAAGCATAAAAAGACCATATTATTATATACTTATATATAAAAACAGAAATCATTCAATATTTGAGGAGGCTCCCGAGGCCGATAAATGAACGAACGTCAAGAAGTAGGTAAATGGCAACAATTCCCCTTCACTTGCTTTATGCACAATTTTCAATCGTTTGTTTCACGAACTTATAGGCATAAAAATACTCAAAATTTACTCACTTGATTGATAAACGGCAATTACTGTTCTTATTTAACAAGTTTTTCTACGGAATCGCACTGCGACTTCATTAATTTCACAAATTTCTATTGTTTATCAGGAAATGCAGCGACAAACGGACACGAACTCGACACGACAAACGAATATGACGAACGATGGACAACGAGTACGACCTCAAAGAAAACCATAGATACATAGATACTTCAAATATAGCTAAGTGTACATGTACTTCACTGCACGTGAAAATGTTATATTGCAGAATTAAAAACAATAAACGTTTTCACTTTCCTCAAAGAAATGCTTATATGCAAATGTCAATAATTCTATTGCACGACAGCGGTCATCGACGACACAAATTTATTTTTACATTTCTATTGGAGATTACACTTTGCATAATTTATTGCTATTTATATGCAATGTGTAGAAGGGAGATGGCAATATGCTGCTCATTTGACAGCCAAAATGACGGCTTCGACGACGCGTCGGCTATTCCGCTGTTCAGCAAAACCAAAGGGTGCTTAAGATGAATAGATAAAGAGTTGTTAATGCAGTGCCATATCTAAATCACTTATATGTGCAGAAAAATAGATAAGTTATTAGACAATATTTAAAAATTAAAAAATTCGAAAGTTTTACACAAATATTATTAACTTCGTTTTAATTGAATAAGCCTCGTTGTATGACTATTTTATGTTTACATATACTAAAAGTAGACAAATGTACACACACATTCATATGTGCAGATGACGTTTCTAACGCCTAGAGAAATAATAACAAAATCTATAGGTGTGAAATGGACTACAGAAATAATGATCCTGGAGCAGTGCAATATGGGAATTTTGTTAACTACTATAAATTTAATAATGCTGGTCAAAGACTAAAACTTCTGCCACGTGACGTCTGGAATGACGTTGAAAATACCCCATCCACCACTGAACCATATTTAGTGCTCGATGTTGGTTGCAACGCCGGAAACCTCACTCAACTTTTGTATACATTTTTAAACGACTGCGTTGGTATACCAAATGGCCGGGATATACAAATACTTGGTGTCGACATCGATGCGGAATTGGTGAAACGAGCGAAAGACAGTAATGAGTTTCCATCAAATGTGAGCTATGATAATTTGGATATAATGGACGCCAATGCCCTAAATCGCATTAAAGAATATCTATTTAAGCGGAACCGAAAACGATTTGATGTTGTTAGTAGCTTTTCTATAACTATGTGGATACATTTGAATCATGAAGATGAAGGCCTAAGACAATTTCTGACGAAATTATGTGACTTGGCCAAGTTGCTGGTAATTGAGCCACAACCTTGGAAATGTTATCAAACAGCTGTGAGAAGAATGAAAAGAGCCGGAGATGAGTTTCCACTGTTTGTGACGCTTGAATGGCGGTCAAACGTAGAGGAATGTATACAGAATTTTTTAGAAATTGAATTGGTAAGAAAAAAGATTTTCGAATGTGCACCAACTCGTTGGCAAAGACGTATCTGCTTCTACAGGTGAATAAGAAGACGGATTTTATCTACCTTTAAAAGATTTAAGGTAAATGCATTTTTTTCTGCGTAGTAAAATAAATAAGATTTATATTGATAAAAATAAGAGTAAAAGTAAAGCTTTGATTAAATATAATACGTGTATGTTCGTAGACTTAAATAAATATTTTTTTAAATAAACATATTTACGTAATAAACATATTGCCCATTTTTAAAATAAACTAATTTGAGCGATCCCATCGCCAAATAGTGCCGTCATCGCAAACACATATCAAAATGATACCGTCCTTCGAGAATGATACCTGCCTAACTGCGCTACCGCACTTCGGATGTGTTAGTGTGCTACATTTAGTTAAATTCGGATCGGAATTATCTAACTCCCATACGTACGTTTTACCCTGTTGATTTCCCAAAGCCAAAACCTTTTGCCAAAAATTGAAACCAAACCGTACGAACCAAATTTCACATTCCTTATAGTCAAAGTGATGTATAATCGTCGTTGTGGAATCTTGTTGTTTCACATCAGTCTGTTCCAGTTTTCCGGGCTTCCAGCATACTATAGAATTCTCACATGACTTGGAGAGTACAAAGTCGCCAAACCATTGTACACAATCTACATAATTTCGATGAATGTCTCGTGTGGAAAAGTCGGGAAAATGCTCTTTAATTGTCGGGAATGGTGTCGCATTTTTAGTTGCATTAAATGAGCAGCTACTCTCAATAGCATCCTTAATAGCAGTTTTATCCAGACGCCAAAGCTTTAACGAATGGTCCATACCGCTCGACATTATACGATCTCCGCGTAAGTCGAAATCAATTGAAAGTACCTCGTCGCGATGTCCTTCTACACCGCCAAAAATCGCTACACAAACATCTGTTTGTATATTCCAGAGACGAAGTGAATGATCTTTACTCCCAGATAATAATAACTGAGGAAGTTTGGGATGAAATTTCAATTCATTAATAGCGTGCCCATGACCAATGTAATGTTTGGTACAAATATGTTTCGATGGATTGAAAATACGTATAACTCCGCGGTAGCCAGCGGCCGCAAGAATTGAATCGGAATTCTCAGGATCGTATGACCAAGCGCAGGTGTAGAAATTTTCGTCGGGCTGCAATCATTAGTTTTATGATTTTGATTCCAATTGAGTAATTGTCTAAGTTAATAAGTATAGAAATGTGCATTCTTACATCAGGATCTGCATAGCACTGAAGTAATTTAATGCCAGTACTATTGTTGTCAGACTGTTCACAATCTCGAGGGCACTCATAAATTGATATACGATCTTTTCCTACAGATGCAAAAATGGCATGCTCCTTAATCAAATGTTGATTGAATTGAACGCCGAACAAAGGCTGACCATGATCCTCACGCAGATGACAACTGCACCAAGATAAAAATCATCATCGTTTAATGTTTTATGTACTTTTTGTGTATACTTACATATATTTGTAAAGGGGCTTCACTATTTTCTTTTTCTTTTTCCTTGTTTTGGAACTTTTCCTATTACCAGGAGATTTGCTACGTGATGTGGTGGTGGTGGCTGTGCTGACCACACTGCCCGTCTCATCTTTATCTTCATCAGATTCCTCCTCAGAATTCACTGTAATATTCGAAGGAGCTTCTAAATCAATGATAGGAGGGGATGTTGTTGCTTGTAGGGGTGGCGGCTCAACGCTATTTGCTACATTTGTTTCTTTAACAGCTGAAGTTTCTTTGACATCATCAGAAGCCATGGTCAAATCACGGCCTTTTTTATACGTGCAATCAAATATCTGCTATGTAATTTATACTTTACTTTGAAATAACTATTGGCGTCGTAAAAACACAAAAGCGAAAAATACGCGCTAAAGTGACAGCTGTAAGCCGGTTTCTTGGGTGGGGGGCGTAGACGAGCTGGGTGGATATAAAGTGTTGCCACTAAACCACTTAAAAGCTTAAATGAATATTTAATATAATTTGAATATTTTATTTATTTATATTTCCTAACTTCAGACTTTAATGTACATATAGATCTTTTATTAAATAAGCAACACGATTAGATTATAGTCATACTTCAATTTTCTTCTGAGCCCTCGAGTTTTTCCAATTCTTTGTCTAAATAGATTTCCACTTCTTTGAGCGCCTTGGCACTTTGTTCAGTACGTGTTAATAGTTCATTAGTAAAGTAATCTCGGAGAATACTGGCTTTCTCTTGTGTTAGTTTGCCTTGGGCGTATAAAAGTTCTAATTCATGTGCAAGATATGGACCCATTTTTAGCTCTGCGGCAGCTTTGAGGTAAGCACATTTGCGATTACGTGCCTCTACCAGTTTTTTTGTATTGTCACGTCGTTGGGCTTCCAAAGAAAATAATAAAAATGAACTCGATGGCTTTGTTGCTGTAGACGTCGCAGATTGGGGTGGTGGTGTGCCAGGATCAGCAAACACATCGGGCATTTCTGCTTTCAATTTCTTTCCAAAGTCAATAACGGGCTGCAGATTTGTCCGTAGTTGAAACATAATTTCTTCACGTATTGCTTTTCGTTCTGTGTATGTTAAATTGACAGCATCGCCCAAAGATTTTAAACCTATATTAAAAAATAATATGTAATTGGGTTTTAAGTTACCGACAGATTCTTTATTTTTACCAAGTAAATAGTCATCACTTCCTCCAGCATTTAAATAGATATAATTGTTAACTTCAATTACTTTAAGGGCCTGTTCAACTTGTTCTCCGTTATCAGGTAAATCCAATTTGTTTATTCTTATTTTCTGCAAATTATGCAATACCAAACGGAGCTTTCTTATTTTACACAGCTCGTTATCACGCTTAATTTCTAATTGTCTGCGTGCTTCGGCATTTAGAATACTCATGGTTTCATTTGCTTCTGCCATCACTATTTAAAAATGCTCAGTAACTTATTAGATCGCAATATTAAGAATTGAATAAAATGTTTTAATTAAGTCCGTTCGCATTTTATTTAAATACTCCGTTCTTCTGTGGATAAAGCAGTGTACGATTTCAGCAACTTTGACAGCTCTGTCAAAAATAAATTACGTTCTTTGGTTCTTTGCATTTGTTGACAACCTTCAGTTTATTGTGAATCCTTAAAAATGGCAAAATCGAAGGTGAGAAGAATATATATTTGGATTATTATGAAATAAATAGTGTATTTGTAAATAAAATAACCAATTTTTAATTTATATAGAAACAAGAGGATGTGAAACACAAATCACACAAAAAGTCCAAAAAACATTCAAAGTCGTCGAGAGAATCTGCTGGTGAGGATGACTTCAAGAAAGTAAGTTCGCTAAAACGTAAACAAACAGAAGTGGCACGTGTGCTGCAACTCAAATGCACCATGCTGCTACAGGGCAATCTTTCTTATTTGGAATACACCGAATTGCAAGAAGAACTGTGCCGTCTTAATGCATTAAAAGAATCATTTGCGAAACAATCCGCTGGCCTAGAGAAGAGGTAAAACTGTTTTGGGATTATAAAATATATTTTTGGATAATGTACAATCGACTTAAGTTTCAATAATTATTAATACTAAAAAAAAGCTTTTAATAAAAATGATGTAAAACAATCACACAAATAATCTTTGATATTTTTTTTTTATCAACAACTCGCTCACATTGCCAAAATCCCGTAAATATATTTGTATTCACGTTCTTACTTTGGGTATGTTCAGTTAAAATTACGGGAAAGAATGTTTTGCTGTGGAAACATTGAACACGCTAGTGTATCTAGAAAATGTGGAATGTATTGATGTAATTTGCCAAGAGAATTTGTCCTAAACGTTTGTGAAACCTTGTGCAAAACAAATCTTGGTGAAAAATTGTGTTTGTTTTTAATATTGAATAAAAATGGGTTCATCATCAAGTGGAAAAAAACACAAAAAAGACAAGAAGCACAGGCATCGTAGCGTTGAAGGTATTGATGAAGGAGAAAGTTCATCATCGCACCGTCATCATAAACACAAACGACATAAAGAGCATAAGGAGCGCCACCGCCATAAGAAGCATCGTGAGCGTGACCACGATCGTGAAAAAGAACGTCATCAACATTCAGAAGTTATTGCATTGGAGGAATCGGATTCGGATGATAGTAAGTGCGCCGCTGTGCGCTTGTGTAAAACACAAAATAGCTTTAAGAGTGTGTAACTCGTTGTGAACGGCGGCTTTTGGGTTAGGGCCGTTTTTGTTGGAATAGCATAGAGACTGCACTAGTGCACAAAGCGATTAAAAAATGTTTTAAAAAAGAAACATTCTATTCTATTCCAAGAGTTACACAATCCTTTCCGGGTTTATGATAAATCATCGCGTATTTTTCTCTTTTTTTTACTATTTTCCAGATTACCTGCAGATATTGAGAATGTAAGAAATTTTCGCCACTGTTTGAAAGCGGTCTTGAAAATGACATCTCCGTATAAAGCGATGATCAACTTTAGCTTGAGTTAAAATTTAATGGATTTAATTTTTACCTTTTCAGGCTCGGATTGTGTTGAGGTACCACTTGATGATCTCCCACTACGAACATATCAGCAGGATAGTGATACAGAAAGGGAGGCACCTCCGCCGCCGCAATTGTCAAAACACCATGTAGAGCGTGAAAAAGAATATGAACGTCTTAAAGAATTGGAACGCGCTAGAGATAGGGAAATAGAAAAGGATTGGGCTCGTGAACGGGAACGTGAAAAAGAAAAGGAGCGCTATGAAAGGGAACGGGAAGTGGAGCGCCGCAAGGAAAAAGAAATGGAACGTGAACGTATGGAAAGGGAAAGGGACCGTGAAAAGGAGCGAGCTCGAGATCGAGATCGTGAACGCATGGAACGCGAACGTGAGCGGGATCGACTACGAGAACGCGAACAGCGGGTTGAGTACGAGAGAAGCCACCGTGAGCGAGAGCGTGAACGTGAACGGGATAAGGCAATCGAAAAAACGAAGGAACGCCAGCCGCGAGAGAAACGATCTCCATCACCCATACCTGAAAATGGTGCAGGTGATTGTTTATCCATTGAAGAGACAAATAAGCTGAGAGCGAAGCTAGGCTTAAAACCTCTCGAAGTTGAAAGCGGTCCCTCAAAACCCACGACTTCAGCAGCTGCAGCAGAAGCGAAAAAAGTCCAACCGGGCGAAAAGGACCTTTCATCATATAAAGATGAGTGGGGCGAGTTTTTACACAAGCCCGCAACGAATTTGAAAGAAAAAGCCGAGGCTGAAAAAATGCGTGAAAAACTGAAGCAACGCAAAGAGAAACGATTTTTGGAGGAACAGTTGGCCCGCATACGCACTTTAGGTGAATCAGATGAAGAAACAGATGACGTCTCTAAATGGGTATCGAAAAACAGACGAGTTATCGATGAAAGGAAGGAAGCCCAAAAGAGGGTAGGCATCTTTGAATATAAAAATGGTTTAAATTTATTTATTGGATTTTTTATTTTTTTTTTTGATTAAAAAACCTCAGGCCAAAATGATTGAGGAAATGGATGCCGAATTTGGCGTAAATGATTTAGTAGAAAAAGAAAAGGAGGCTTCACGCCGAAAGGCTTACAATGATAAGCATCTTAAGGGATTGCGAGTAGAACATGATTTGAATGAATTCACTGAAGGCAAACAAATAATTTTGACTCTAAAAGACAAAGATGTTTTGGACGACGAGGATGATGCTTTAATAAATGTCAATTTGGTTGACGATGAGCGATATCGTAAAAACGTTGTAAACAAAAAACAGAATCCCCTCAGTTATGGTTACAATGTCTATGAAGAGCAATATGACAAGTTCGGTAATCCGATTCAACGTGGCATATTGGAGAAATACGATGAAGATCTCGATGGAAATAAGAAAAAGAATGAATTTGTCATTGGTGATAATGTAGAGGAACAGCGTGAGCATCAGAGAAAAGTACTGGAGGTACACAATCACAAACATTACCGTAATTGATATTTGGTTGACCAGTTTCGTTTTAGATAAAAACTAAGTTGGCAGGAAAACGTTTGGAAACTCTTGAAGATGCTAAAATAGCTCTTGCCTCGGACACTTATTCCGAAGCTGAGTTGACGAAGTAAGTAATTTTTTTTTTTTTTTTTTTACTTTCTTTTCAACGCCCTTCTTCCGTATTTTCTTGCAGATTTAAAAAGCCTAAGAAAAAGGTAAAGAAGATAAGAAAAAAATTAAAGGTTGAAGATTTGATTCCAATGAATGACGAGCCTATGGAGAAGCACTTAGGCAGTCGCAGAGGGCGACATCGTGAGGAAGAAGATATGGATACGGAAGATATAAAGGAGGTCAAAGTGGAAGATGAGGACGAAGATTTGGAACGTATTCTTTCCAAGGCACGAAAATTGAAACAAAAGGAGAACATTATAAGGAAAAATCTACCGATCGATGTAAGTAATATTAAACATGAGATCAAAGACGAGCCTGTGGACGGTGCAGATGGTGAGGGTGGTATTCGGGGAGCTGATGGCAATATTGTGCTCAACGCCACGGCAGAATTTTGCCGAACACTGGGCGATATACCAACCTATGGTATGGCTGGAAATCGTGATGAAGATTCCAATGATATGATGGACTTTGAAATAAATGATGGAAATGATGAGCGATTAAATGATCGGCAAAATGAGCCCGAACTAAATCACGGTACGTGGAATTCCGTTAACCCAGACGAAGTCATGCAGCCAGCAGAGTTTGAAGATGTGGGAGAAAATTTGGAAGAAGTAGCTATTTTAGACGAAGAGCCTGACGTTAGTGCCGGTGTAGCGAATGCTCTGCGTTTAGCTTTATCTAAAGGGTATTTAGAGAAAGAAGAGCACAATCGACCGAGCAATTCAAAGATGGCCCATCTCCAAGCAAAGAATTATTCTATCGAAGATAAATCGGCAGTGTAAGTAATCGAAAATGTAAGAAATTATAAAATATACTTAACCTAACTTTATTCTTTTACAAATAATAGTGAAGACGATAAGTTTGGTAGGCGTGATCGCTTCCACGCTGGTCCCATTATGGAATTCAAAGACAAGGAAACTTTCAAACCAAACGTGAAATTGGAATATATTGACGACAATGGCCGTATACTAAACTCGAAGGAAGCATTTCGTTATTTGTCACACAAGTTCCATGGCAAAGGACCGGGAAAGAACAAAATAGAGAAACGGTTAAAGAAAATGGAACAGGAAGGGGTAACTGATGCAAAGAAAATTGAGTAAACTGCAAGTTTCAATAAAAATCATTTTATTTACAGTTAATGAAGACAATGAGCTCTACGGATACGCCATTGGGTACACTTACTATGTTGCAGCAAAAGCAAAAGGAAACGAAAACACCATTTGTGGTGCTTAGCGGCGGCAAACAAACTGCAGCAGTTAGCGGCGCAACAATATCCAAATATAAATAATTTATTTGTTAAGTTATTATTTTGTTATTGTATAAATTAACATAAAAACTTGCGTACCATTAACATTGGAGTCCAACACATATTCATCCGAATTATTTCCCCATTGTAACAATCCAGTCAGCATTTCCATACAATACCAAAACTAAACCTGCAATAGCCCATACAAGTATACAAGCATAATGTAACCACAAGAACACTAATAAACATTACGCAAAATTGAATCTAGAATACTTCATGATATATTTTTATCATAGTAGTTGTAGAGGAATTTCATATTTTTCTGAATGTCCACAATAAATATGATTTACAAGTAAATATCATTATTATTTATTTAAATGGTGCGCAGAAATGCGACATTTCCATCTAAATCGACTGAAATGAAAGAGGAGTATAAATAAGTACTCGGAAATAAAAGCGAAAGTCATAACACAAAATGGACCAAATAAGATCAATCAATGTTTTGTAATGAAACTGATACAGGTATGATCATGGGCAGTTCGTTTGATCCGGCCCACCTTGTGCTGTTATCTAACAACTTACATGATGAATCAGCATCTATTGCATACTTTTGTGAGTTGAGCGATAATTCAATGTCTAAATCGCCTTTTTCCAAACACTTAAGTGTCGTGCCATTTTTATGAATCGCCAGGGAAAATTTCGATTTTGCAAATTTTATACCTAAATGAAGAAATATTTTTAGAAATTTACCAACTTCCGCAGCACAACCACAACAACTAACAAGCTTACCATTTATCGAGTAGCCCATGGTAGTGGGTAGAAAATGAGTTTTCTGAATCACCATCAAAGACCGCTGTCCATCCAAATGAAACCGTATACCACCATAACCGTTGATAATGGCTTGCAGAAATCCACCAATGCCCGTGAGGAAATTGGCGGAGCCTTCATAGCCCACTTTGTTCTCACTCCAAACCTACAACACAATTTAAAATTCTCGCATTCTTGTGGCCCAAGATCATGGAAAAGCCCAGTAGAATACCTTGAATTCCGGTCGTACGTAATCTCTGTAGCCCCTCTGGAAATATAAGTTAGCCTTTTCCATCTCGTTTACGTCCAAGAAGTTAATTGCAAACATGGACCAAGACATAGCAGGACCTGACTCGCGGGTCACAGTCTCATAGTTCTTGAGATCATTCAGGCGCGTCGTGCTTAATAAAATAAGAGACAAGAAACTTACTTCTTGTACTATCAAAACTGCTCGAGCTTACTTAGACATGGCATACTGTACGGGGTAACCAAGCAGAATCACATCAGCTTGTTTCACCGTCTCCCCACGTTTGTAGCCCAAATGCTGCGGATGGTAGTCTAGGTTTTCATCGTATAAAATATGCATACGTTGAACAATATCGATCCAAACATCGGGAAGATCGTTGGCAGACGCACATATAGCCCGTGTAAAGCTATCAAAGCGAGGGATATAAATTTTGTCATGCTTCTCCTACTTTGCAACGTACCTTGCGAACTGTAGCGCTTTCTTAACAACCACATTTGTGTAAACATTGTCCGTTACATTGGCATGATCTTCATCCGGGCCCATGACATCTGAGTGGCAAGGAAATCAGTTAAACAATCAACTAGATTTTGCCGCTTACCTTTCAAGTGATACTTTTGGCCGTCATCTTGCACACGACTAACCAGAAACTCAGCCACTTCTTTGGCTATTGGCCAAGCAATGCTACACAGCCACTCTGTATTGTGTGTAGCAGGGTAGTGTTGCTGCAGTGATAGTACTATGTCGGGTGAGATATGAATTTCTTGCGCAGCAATCTCAGGGCAACATGGATTGATAACTTCAGTACCAGTATAGGCGCTCTCCCAGGGGAAGCTGTGTTTTTTGGCACTCGAAAAAACAATCAAATATTTCATACGTTAGTACGTCACTTACCGCGCTCCTCGATAACCAGTCATATTGGCGTTGAATCGTGCGCCAGCCAAATGCGCAAAGCGATAGTGGAAGAGCTGATCTGCCCAGTCTGCATTAAATTGTGCGACTGCTGGTAACATCCAGATTTCTGTATCCCAAAAGTTGTGTCCCTCATAGTCAGCATCAAGCTCGCCACGCCCTAAGCCCGTCGGGCTTAATCCGTAATAAGGGTTATTCGGTCGATTTGTGCGCAAAGAGGGCAGAGAGTTGGCTAAATAGAACGCGCCAGCGTTAATGATGCGGGACTAAGAAGTTGAAGTAAATTTGCGCGTTATAAGTGAAATCGCCTTTAATTTCAAGTCATCATTTCCATCAAATCCTCTTTCCCATTTCCGGGGTCAGAGAATTCCATTGGAATCAAATAGTTACCATTTCCAAATTTCCCTCGATCTCTATATTGAAATCTTGCCAGAATTTATGCCATTCTTCGGTATGCTTTTTGAAGAGAGACTCCGGTGCGTGCTTCAGAACTATGAATAGATGAGAATGTACAGTCAACTTCCCACACAATGACCTTTTTAACTTACCTTCGTCCATTTCCTGCCAAGCAACCTCCTCATTTTCGTCCGCCGTAATCACAAAACGATAATAAAACTCTTGTTCACCAGCGGGCACTTCGATGGTGTACTCATTTTCCCAATCATCACTAAATAGCACGAAAATCTCACGCGATTTCGGCTGTAAATCTGGCTGCTCCCGCTGGCGCGTTGCACCATGCAGCGTTTTATAGCGCTTAGTATGATTCGAGTCGGTTGATGAGGAGGCAAAGTCAAAAGCTTCACTTTTACTTCCGGCCTTTTGGGTCAAATTGATAAGCAATGGATCTAAATAAATGAAAGAGATAAGTGTTAAAACAAAAAGTCGCGTCGGAAGTGCATTGCGTGCCAAACACATTTCTATAAATACCAAAAGCGCCAGTGCAACGCACGAAAAGTTCATAGATCAATGCGCGATTATAGTAGCGATGTGGATATGAGCGTTGTTCTAATTGCAGCTGCAGACCATTGGCCTCATAAGCAAATAACCAACGGAAATAACCGTCTTTCAGCCGCAGCTCATACGCGTCCGGTATGATGGAGAGCGCCCATTCCTCATACTGAATGCTGGCCACACTCAAATTCAGCCAATTCGGTAAACGCGCACGGCGACTATTGCCTCCGACGCCATTATATACGCCATTCATGAAGATCGCGTCGCCGAAAATTGTATAGCCCAAGTGACCATTGCCCAATGTGGGCATGAAATTGAGATCGGTGGGGAGTCTAGTGGAAGATGTAATCTTGTAAGGTTAACCTGACTAAATTTGATGAAAAAATTCTCTTACTTTTCCGATTTGATCACATATGCGCTGTCATCGGCTGAGGACGGCAAACAAAGGCTTGTCAGAATCACTAAGAAGATTCCAAAGGCGATAGATTTCGCCATCTTCGGCATCTCCCTTTCCGCTCTTTTCTGATTGCTTCGAGTTTCCTAGTGCCACTAATATTTCAATGAATTTGTCGGGTTTTGTTTAATAAAATTTAATCAGCAAATACTTTCTTTAACATTTAATTTGAACACAAGTTTACACAGACTCGTATGTATCTATGTTGGATGGGAACTTCTGTGATTAAATTGACTGATAATACTCATTAGTCGTTTCTACAGTTCTCAGAGCGTAGTCGACTCAAATAAACAATGCGTTGATGTATTGAAGAAACCTCCTAAATAGAAAATGTGAAATTTTGATATTGAAGTAGATAGGAAAAGTAGTAGGAAAGAGAGACTTAAATGGGACGAAGAGCTTACAGAAAGAGTATATTTCCGTAATCAGAATAATGGTGATCTCGAACCGATGCGCCACAGAAAACAGACCGAAATGGGCTAAGACTGAAAGACTTTATCGGGAGCTAAGAGTTCAACAAGTTACTTGTTTTCGAATCCGTAATGGTATTGGGATAGAGACAAGACAATCGCTCTTATAAATACAACTGAAATGGCGACCACAGTAGGCAATTGGTTAGCATTGCGTACCAATGTACGGATGGGCAGGGATTGAGTTCTGGTCCGGCCAAACCCCAAATTTATGGAAAATTAATTTTTCAAAATGCGGTCGTCCCTCGGCAGGGAACGTCAACCCTTTGGCACTGTAGGTCTATAAATTTGTTGGAAAACCATCCAGCACACCGCTCGGCCGAAACTCGCTTCAGCGGTTTCAAAACACCAATTATAGAATCCAAATGAAGTAAGTAAATAAACAAGAAAATTTTCCTTTAAGGAAGAATAATAAGATAATTTTCACATATACAAAATATAATGAGACTATGTGCGTGTGTGAATAAAGAGAGAGATTTTGGATTCTCCGCCCGAGATTTGTGGGATAGCATGACTACCGCCTCCCGCGTAAAGCCCCCCATGGGGGCAATGAAGATATTAAAAGATTTACACGATCAGCGGGAGACCTTTTGGAGCAAAACGACGTGCTGTCAAATTCTTTTTTACTAGAAGGAGGAATCTAAGAGAACCCACAGTGAGCTCCAGATTCGATGGTACCATAATTTCCCCCAACGAATTGGAACAAATTAAGATCATTAGTGCGCGTCTTTGTCATTTAAAGACTTCATTTTTTGGCTCTGTGATTAGCTACAATCTCATTCATAGGTCTTTCTCTGCTCTGAATTACGGCAGTGTCGAGTTCAATTCACCACCCAAACAGCAAATAATAGATCGTAAACGAAGCGTAAACTGAAAACCGAATTGAATTTTACATGCCAAATATGAGTGTACATACATATGTGTACATACATACATATATGTATACAAAAAATCATTAGCCTAAGTGTGTAATAACTCAACATATGATAAATCCCACCCCGAACCAGTGTAAGGTCCCTTCACTTTACCAAGCTATTATGGTTCCGGTGCCGATTCAAGCTACTCTTCTTATACATAAGTAGACTCATATAAACATACAAATGTACATTTGAATGTTTGTTCCATTTTGACCCTCTTGTATGCGTGCTTTATGTGTTACCGATTGTCCATCAACTGAACAATCTAGGCATCTAAACGAAGGCACCGTGCAACAAACATCAAATACACAACCTGACATACATATATATAAGTTATATGTGTACATCTGTGTGTAAACGAGGCGATGCACTAGGCGGTAAGTTGAATTAATTTTAATGATGTTACGCCACAGTAGATTTCCTGCAATCTTACATGCTCAGGTGTTTCCATATGAGAAATTTTCTAATGTCTCCCCACTGGGCCTATACACATCCGTATCTACATAGTTACATTTATAATTATGTATATATGTATATACTTACCAAGATAATTGTACACCTTTTCAATTCTAATGTCTTCCCATAAAATACATAGTTTTTTTGCTTTTAATAAAAAAATTATATATGTAAATATATTGTGTGCAAGTTTGTGAGATACTGTTGGCTACCGTCTGAGGCGGTGATTTACTTCTTTTCACCGGTGTTTTGCCGGTTTAATTCTCGCTTATTGCATATAATAAAATTCGTGTTAGTTTTAATTGATGGTGATGGTGATGGCGATGAGAATGAGAATGCGAATAAGATTCGACATTCGGAAGAAAGCATTCGATTGAAACGTAAGTTCGCTTCTGAAAAGCCTAATCGAGAAAATGTTAGCATTATTTCTTTCATTCTTGATTTTTTTTGTAATACAATTTTTTTTACTTTAGTTCAATTTATTTTAGTTGCATTTTTTTATATTATATTATTTTCAATAATTTAATTTTATTTTATTTCTGATTCAATTAATTTAATTTATTTTAATTATTTTATTTTAATTTAATTTATATTTTTATCTTATTTTACTTTAGTTTATTTTTTTATTTTAATTTAAGTTTAGAACGATACAATGTGAATTTTATTTAATATTTATTTATTTTGTTCGTTTTGTAGTTTTTTCTGTAATTAATTTTTTTTTTACCTTGGTTCAATTTATTTTATATAATTTTATTTTATTTCTGATTAAATTAATTTAATTTAATTTAATTATTTTATAATTTAGTTTGATTATTTTGATTAGTTTAATTTAATTTGCTTTAATTTAATGTAATTTATTTATTTATTTTATGTTAATTTAATTTTTGTACGATATAATATGTATTTTATCTTATTTTTTTATTATATTTCAATGCATTTTATTTTTTTATTGCGGTTTGTTTTATTTATAATCTTTTTATTTTACTTCATTTAATATAATTTTTTTTTGTTTTATTTTATAATCTTTTTATTTGACTGCATTTAATTTTATTTAACTTTTTTTTTTTTTTTTTGTTGTTTAATATTGCATTTAATTTTGTTTTTTTATTTTATTATTATTGAATTCGATTTTATTTTTGTAATTCATTTTTTTTCACTTAGTTTTAGGTTCGTTTGAATTTATTTTGTTTTATTGTATCGTGTTTTACTTTAAATTTATTTATTTTGTACAATTTTATTTTATTGTATAGTGTTTTATTTTTTTATTACTAAATTAAACTTTTATTTTAATTTATTTAATGCTACTTCAATTAATTTAATTTTATTTGTTTTCTCTTTGCTTTATTCAATTTTTTAATTTTATTTTTATTTTATTTAAATAATTTTATTTTAATTTTTAACTTTATTTTACTTTGTTTTTAATAGTATATAATTTTATTTCATTTAATTTTTTTCTTTTTAATATTTTTTCCTTTTTATTTTTAATTTTTTTATCATAATATATTTTATTTCAGTTTTGATTTGAATATAATAATATTTCATTAAATTTCATTTCATTTAGTCTAGATTATTAGATTTTTTACTTTATTTAATTTAATTTTATTTTATTTTATTTCAGGTTACTTTTTTATTATAATAAATTTTAATTTAATTAAATTTAATTAAATTATAATTATTTGTTGTATAGTATTTTATTATATTTTATGTTGTTTCATTTTAATTTTCTTATTTTATTTATTTAATTTCAATCTACTTAATTGAAATTTCATTAATTTCATTTTATGGTATTTTTTTCTTCATATGTTGTGTTATTTCTGTTACTTTATTTTAATTTTATATTAAATTATTTCATTTATTTTATTTATTTGGTTTTATTTAATTTCCGTTGATTTATTTTATTTCACCTGGTCGCGGCCAGTTGAATATTCGAATATTCGCTGGGTCACTATTCACCGCTATTAACTATGATATCAGAGCAGTAATAATTGTAAAAAAGCGGAAAAGTTCACTTGCGAGTGCACAGTACAATGACAGTGCTTTACTTTTGCTATACCTTGCTCTCCCCTCTGCGCATACTTATATACATATCGTATGTATGTATATGTATATCTGTATATTTTAGCTTGTTTTTCATTCGCAATTTTATATTTTTTTCGGTTATTCATTTTTTTTATTGTGAGTTAAGAAGAAATTAACTTATCATGATTGTGTGACGTGGCGAAGCGTAACTGGTCTATACATACATATAAATATATGTATATGTATATTCGTTTATAATGTATTTCCAGGGCCTAAAAGGAAACAAATGAATAATGTCTACATACGAATATATTAATAAAAAAAAAAGTAGAAAAATTTGAACAAATATAATTCCCAATTCTGGGGTTGGATTTTGCTCGAGTTCGCTGTTGTCGAAACTATTCCTGCATATTTTTCGCTGACTTTTATGCGAAATGGAAATAGTAATCACCACGCGATGTATAATAATAATAATAATAATAATAATAATAATACAAAAAAACAACAACAATAACATGAGGCAAAAATACGAATGCTTTGAATTGTTCTGAAAGCCGAAAATCAGCGAAGCGTCACCAATGAGTTTCCGTAGAAATGATCTGCGCATTCGGACCATTTGGCATATTCAATGCAGTCCATATGGGAGAGCTTCGATAGTTTCTATGGAGTAAAATTTTCATTCAATTTTTAGTTGGCTCACGTAACATTCAATGGGCCCAAACCATCAGCATAGAAGGTGCTGTGGAGTATTCAATTAAATCTTGTCTCAATTAAAGTTTTTTAAAAGTTTAGTTCTTTACTGGTTCAAGTTTGTAATATAATTTTGGTAAACATTTTTTTTTTGTAGCCTATCTTATTTTTTAAAGGCGGAAACCCAGTATGTCATATAATATCATTTCATACCTGTTACTTTTCAAGTAGAAATGAGTATGTATGTTCAGATATGCATAGCAACAGTCACGAATACTAATGAGAATTTTGAAAACATATACACATTTACTCAGTCTTTGCTCGGGGGTGCAAATTAATTCGACCCTGCGACTACTGAATTCTTGTTATTTTACATATGTAAAACTGCTTTGGTAAACTAACTGCACATTTGTTGTTTTATTGTAACTTTAATTGCGTGTTTTTGTAGTTTATAGTTTGTTTGTTTGCCTTCTACAATTAATTGAGCAAACGCAAAGTGTGTGAATATTTTTATGGTCGACACTGTTATTTTTTTTTGTTTTTTGGAAATTTTCTCATAATTTGAATTGTGTATAATGCAATTTTATGTGGTCACTTTTGGTTTGTATATAAGTATGTATAAACTTATTTTAATTTAGAGGCAAAGTTACTTATGTTGAATGTATGTAATTCATAA